CACAGAGACTGCTGCTGTCAGCACCAGCATGTCTTACAGTGTGACCCTGACTGGGCCTGGGCCCTGGGGCTTCCGTCTGCAGGGAGGCAAGGACTTCAACATGCCGCTCACTATCTCCCGGGTAAGTGTGTTGGTATGTTTAGAGGCGTGTGTGTGTGTCCATCCATATGTCCTTCCCCAAGGCTCTTGAAAAAGAGAGCATGCCTCATCCTTAGTCTGGGGGCTGGGAGTGGGCCCAACTGGATGCTGCCCACTATAGACCTCTGGTCTCAGCCACAGCTGTTCACCCACCTGAACTGGCCAGCCTGTTTTGAGAGTGAAACATCATGAGCAAGTGGCAGGTATTTTGAGCAGAGAAGGAAGTGCCAAGTTTTCAGGGCAGGTAGGCAGGTGAACAGAGGACAGCAACTTCCTAAGCCCTTCCTTAGCAGGGTGGGCTCAGGATGCCCTCAAACCCAGAACATTTTTCTGGACATGAGCAACTACTTTGGAGAGAGGACTCCTAACATGGAGAGGGCAGGTGACAGGTGGGTATCAGAGCTTGCGTATCAGGGCTTGGGTATCAGGGCTTGGGTCTGGATTGGGCAGGTTACTGGGCTCTAGCAGACACTCAATCCCAGACCCAAGATAATAGCCCACCTTCCTGGGCCTTCCAGGGACCTTGCACTGGCTGGCCTCATGAGTCTGGGCCTTCCTCCTCACCTGCCCAAGCCCCTACCCATTCACCCACAGCTGCTTTGTCTGCCTGTCTTATATCTTATTCTGCATGCTCACCTGGGAAAATGACCCATGTCCTGCAGTATCTGTGATCAGGGAACAGCACTGCCTGATGGCGATGTCACGGAACATTGGAGAATATCCAAGTAACTCTATTGCCCCTCTAGAGACACTGAAACCCAGAGAGCCGAGAAGCTAGATCTGCTTGAGAGGAAGCTGTCTATAAGAAAGGACTGTTTTAACCACTGCTGCCTCCCCAGCACCTACTTAGGGCTTAGAACATAGTAGGTGCTCATGTAACGTATGTCAAGTAAAAGGAATCTCCAATAAGTCTAGCAGAGCTGGGGCTGAAGGCCCTGAGGCTCAAGGTGGATTGTAAGTTGTGCGAGGGAATAGACAAGCCCTAGTGGAATAAGGCTGAGGTGGCCCCCAGCAGTACTGGTGTGGGCACAAGGGGACAGGCTGAGGCCCCAGGCTGTCACTGGAGGATGATGGATGATGGGCAGAAGTGTCTGGGTTGCTGCCCACCTGGGAACAGGAAGACAGTTTTTTCTCCAGAGCAGCAGAAACTTTCCTTGGGCCCTGGGGGTAGATGGTTACAGGAAGGCAGCCAGGGAAGGCCCGAACAGTGCTTAGCAGAGAGGGCAGGGAGCCAATGCCCCTATTGGAAAAGCAATCCTGGTTGTGGAACGTGATGTGGGCATAGAGGCCACATTCCTCTGGGGCAGGGCACTGGCCTGGCTCCAGCCCAGGGAAAAGGACTTGCCCTCTATCCTTCCATTGGGGAGCTGGCTCATTCTAACCTGAGTCCACACGCTTCCAGACTCACTGCCGTGGAGACCACAGGGTCCCACAGTAAAAGGACACCTGGAGACTTGCACACCCTGCTTGATGATGTGGTGACACATGGGCATTTGAGCCCAAGTGGATGCCTCCCCCGCCCCCCAGGACCCTGCAAAATTCCTACACCCATGGTTACAGGGCTCCTCCCTGTATGAGGGGCTGTCCACCTTCACTCTCATATGTCCACCTGCCACATACACTTGGGATTGAGCCCAACTCTCTCCCAGCCCCACCATCCTCAAGGCCTCCTCCTGGTGCTCCCTGTCTCATCCTTGCGGGCGAGAATTAGCCTCCTGGCTCAGTGGCACCCAGGATAGCCAATTACCTCACCCAAGGTCTATGTACCACCTGGCCTGGCTAGCTCAGGGCTTAAAGGGCAGCATAGGGACCTTAAGCTAGACAGCAGGAAGAATGTTCTCACTTCAGGGAGGGGGTGTATTAGGATGTACTGGAGCCAATGACTAGGGGAGACTTTTAAAAATAGAACCCACAGCTTAGGCAGGGCGTTGGGGGACGGGCATAATGACATCTCTGCTTTCTACAGGGGCACACCCCAAATCACCAAGTCCATGGAGCAAGCTAAACTGGACACTGGGGCCTCCCCAGGGCTCTTGATAAACTCATCTGGTGGGCTACTGACACCCAGAGCTTGGGTGTCCCAGGCTTGGTGTTGCCAGCCTGCTATCCCACTAGGGCTGTGGTAAATGGGCCCTTAGGCCCGTCTGCTCCAGGAACTTCTCTCCCAAGGGGATGCAGGGGCCACAGCTCTCTGGAGAGACCTTTCTCCCACCTCAGCCATGATCCACTTCCCACAGGAAGCAATGGTGCTCAGGTGACTATTGCAGAGGGGGAATTAGCAGAGGCAGGGCCTGCTCATTCTCAGTAGGGGCCAGCACCCCCTGCACATGCACTGCAATCCTGAGGGAGTAGTCAGGCAGGCAAGGCTTCAGAGTCAGCAAACTGAGGCTTGAATTTGCGCACGAGCTCCTGTTGGGCCCACTCCTGTAGTAAGCCCTAGCACCCACTCTTGCCCCGTCACCCCTCTGGCTAGGGGCTGGAAAAGCACTGAGCGGGGTCTGTCCTCTGACAGCTGTAGGTGCAGTCTGCCGCTCCTCCTGTAAGAAGGTGGCCACCCGCAGGCTGGATGGTAGCTCCATTCTCACTCTACCTTGCCCACAGGCCCCATAGCATCAACCTTGGGGCAGCAGCAGCCCCTCAAGGGCTCCCTTCAGTGGGTCTCAACTTGAGGACCCACAGAGAAGGGGGTTCAGGAGGGAGACTTGGAGGGTGGAGGGGGAAATGCCTTTATTTATCCTGGACAGGTGCTGGCTGGGCCTGCAACATGAGCTGCCCTCTCATCTCCACCCTCCCCCAACCCCAGCCAGCTCTCCAGGATGTGGGGGAGGGGTGGGAGTAGCTCCAAAGGCCCAGCCCCCACCCCACACCCAACTGCTAGGCCAGAGGCTGGGCCACGGTCTGGGGCCTTGCCCTTGGCACATGTTGTGGTCCTCAACTTTATGGAAGAGGTGTGTGCTTTTGTTTGGCTCTGCTACTCACAGCTGTGTCACTTTAGAAAAGTCAGTTCACCTGCTGAGTGTCAATTTATCCATCTGTAAAATAAGGATAGTGCCTCTGTGAGTCCTTCCTAACATGTACTTGTGAAAATACTTTACATTTGTTTTTCCTCAGGGACTGGTTGTGAGATTGGTGGAGTGGTGGGCTGAGCCTGGGGTGGGGCCTGTCTCTCTGCTCCACCCACCAGCCCAGCAGACTTGCCTGAGGACCAGGCCCTTTGCAGTTTTTCTGTTCCAGTATTTGTCAGACTCTCCCAGCTACAATGGGGACATAGAGGACAGAGGGTCCCCAGGGAGGGGGAAGGCCGAGACTATTCTGGGGCAACTGTGCTGTTGATTCCTGGAATTCTGAGGCTGCTGGAGCTGTTTCTTGGGCAGCGCCTCACAGTGCTGACAGGTCATGCTGTTTATAGCCACCTTGAAGGTCAGGCAAGTCTCTGGAGGGCTCCTGTGGGGCTGCTGGGGTACCCCCCTCCCTCAACACATGAACAAATGGTGATGATAGCAGACAGACCCACAGCGGGGGAATGCATTCTTAGAGGTCCCCCAGCCAGGCCAGGCCCCCTCCTCTCATGCTTTCCTTCCCTGGTGCTCAGAGCTGTGCCTGACCCTGTGAGGGCCCTGAAGGGAGTAGGCACGAGGTCGAGGTCCTGGGTCCTGGGGAGTGGACCCTCCAAGGCCCTGTGCCAAGACACAGGACACCAGTAACTTCCTGAGCAGCTCCTTGGCTCCCTAGGTTTAAAGGCTTTGTGGGACAGCAGCAAGTATGAAGAGGTTTCCTGAGTAAGGTCTGCTGGGCTCTGCTGGGGCGGCCCTCCAGCCTGGGAGACGTCTCCCTAGTTCCCTGAGTCTCTGTCCCTCTCTACATGGTCCCCTCTCACCCAGGGGCTATTTATCATTTCAAAGGCCCTCCACCCCAGAGCCTCCCATTCCCAAACACAGCTTCTCTGACCCTCTGGAACCAGGCTCCACCTCTACTCAGGAGCCATCTTGAGAGGTGTGAGGCAGACTTTGCTGTGTCCCAGGGCTCTCTGGGGCCCAACGAGAGTGATGTGCCCATGGGAGCATTCTACAGGTGACTTCCGAGACAGACAGAATGGTGGGCCTGGATGAGAGGAGAAGAGAGTGACTCACAAGGCCAGGGAAGGGTATGGTCAGCTAGAGAAGGGACCAGTGACCCCTGGCTTTGGAGTGGTGGTGGCCAGAGCCAAATGGGTGGGTGTGAGAGCGATGGGAGATAGTAGAGGCAACCCTCTCACCCAGGGGCTATTTATCATTTCAAAGGCCCTCCACCCCAGAGCCTCCCATTCCCAAACACAGCTTCTCTGACCCTCTGGAACCAGGCTCCTCCACCTCTACTCAGGAGCCATCTTAGAGGTGTGAGGCAGACTTTGCTGTGTCCCAGGGCTCTCTGGGGCCCAACGAGAGTGATGTGCCCATGGGAGCATTCTACAGGTGACTTCCGAGACAGACAGAATGGTGGGCCTGGATGAGAGGAGAAGAGAGTGACTCACAAGGCCAGGGAAGGGTATGGTCAGCTAGAGAAGGGACCAGTGACCCCTGGCTTTGGAGTGGTGGTGGCCAGAGCCAAATGGGTGGGTGTGAGAGCGATGGGAGATAGTAGAGGCAAGCTCTGCTGATCACATCTTGGAGAAGCCCGGAGGTAAAGAAAGAGAGAGAAACATGACAGGAACCAGCTGGAGCAGCTAAGGCAGGGGAGGGAGAGGCTTTTTTTTTTCCTTTCTTTTTTAAAAAGATTATTTTCATAGAGCAGTTTTAGGTTCATAGCAATTGAGGGGAAGGTACAGAGATTTCTCATATACCCCCTACTCCTATGTATGCACAGCCTCTCCCATTGCCAACATTCCCTACCAGAGTCGTACATTTATTACAACAGATGAAATACATTGACATATCATTATCACCCTGACATTAGAGTTCACTCTTGTTCTAGTATAATCTATGGGTTTGGACAAATGTGTAATGACATACATCTACCATTATAGTATCATACAGAGTATTTTCATTGCCCTGAAAATCCTCTGTTCGAGGAGAGGTTTTTTGAGCATTGGCAAGACTCTGGTTTGTTTATGGGCCAGGATGGGGTTGAGAGTGGGGCCATGGGGAGACAGAGTTTCCAGTGAGAGGATGAGGGATGGAGCAAGGCCCCAGGGAAGCCAGATGGGACCAGAGTGGAGTACGGCATGATGGTAATTTAATCACACAGTGTAATGCACTTAGGGCTCCACGGGAAATCCCCTGGGGTGGTCAGCCTGGGAGGATGAGGAGATGCTGCAAACTACACCATCCACAGCATCCACTAGCTACCCTTGCTCCCCATCCCCTAACACCCCTATACAGGCAAATCTAGAGGAAAAGGAAGACGGGGGCCTTTCTTGTTTTGAACACTGAGAGTGATGGCCGAGAACTTCTGCAGAGAGCCTACCTGCCTTCCTGACTGCAGGGGAACGAGGGTAATAGAAGCAGATGGTTTGGATGCCCCTGAGCCCCAGCCAGTGTCTCACTTCCCCGGAAACCTTGACAGAGAACTTCTTCCCCACCCCCAATACCCCTCCACCCCGCCCCCAGCTAATGTGCGGGTCCCTCTAGGGACAACAGGCTGGCTCAAAACTGGTCAGTCTGGGTAGTCTCTTGCACCCTACTCTCCGCCAGCTCCAGATCTTGTTTCCTGCAGCCTCCTGGCCTTGGCCCCTCTGGCACCTCCGGGAGAAGGGGCCAGGGGCAGCACCTATGCCTCCTTGGTTGGGAGCTTCTCTGAAACTTTCTCAGCTCTGCGCCCTCCTTACATAATACCCTATTTAATAATGCAATGCTAGAAGCCATCTTGGAGAAAGGCACTGTTGCTCTCCTTACACAGAGGGCATAGAGGCTGGCATTGCAATCTCAGGTCTGGGTCAGACCAAAGTCCACACTCTTCCCTTTGCTCCCTCTCCCACAGGCACCTACAAGTGTCTGGGGCCACCACTGCTCCCTGGCATCGGTTATTCCTGTGCCCACTCTGGGGTGCCCTAAGACCACATCACAGCAAGGTGAAAGGACTCCTGTAAGACAGGTAGCCATCTTGGCCCCCAAACACCTTAAGCACATTCTAGGGAACCTTTGAGACAAGACTTTAGGCCTGGAACTTTGCCCAGGGCTGGTTTCCCGGGTAAAAGGTGACTAGTGACCAGAGAAGACAGAGAAGTGAAGTGGAAATGAAACAACTACTACAAATTGTTTTTTAAATGCTTAAAAGGGGAAAGACTAAAGAAAAAAACCTCCAAAGATTTAGCTGCTTTGGGTCCTTTCTGGGACAAGGGAAGCAGAGAGGAATAGTCAGATAAGAGATCTGTGGGTCCATCAAGCCTGGACCGCATCCTTCACTGCCCTGGTCTCTGGTTGAGAGTACAAGTGTGGCCTCACCCTTCTGCAGAGAAAGCTACTACTGTGGTGGAGGGAGGAGATCTAATGGTCCTTGGGCCGAGCTGGGGGTCCTTGCCTCCATCCTGCCTCCACTAGGGGAAGCTGGGCAGAACTAGAAGAGCACTTCCCTACAAGAGGATGACAACACCCTCCACCCCACAGCTCGAGGGTTCTTGGGTCCTGCTCAGGGCAGCCAAAGGCCAGGCTAGCTGAGCCCTGATGGGCATACACAGGTGCAGGCAGACAGGTGCCAAGGGCAGGCAAGAGTCAGCTCTGTGGCTTCCCTTGGGGGAAGCTACTGACCAGACCCCAGGAAGGCTGAGCTCTTCCTTAGGAACAAGGATCACCATAGCCCACGCCCGAGGAAGAGAGGGAGCAAGGCAGGGCCAGGCAAGTGGGGCGGTGGGAGGCCCAGCGGGAAGAATTAGTGTGAGCTAGCCAATGCCTGAGGGAGAAAGATGTCCCCAAGGCAGCTCCACCCCCCCACCCTTCGCCCCACTCCACCAGGCTTACCTGAGCTGATGTGTGGTCTCACCCATCCTCTCTTGGACGTCACTCTGATGTCCTTGCTTATACTGTCATCTGTGATCTTCTGGACATAGTACTGGTCCTGTCTGGCAGTTAGCTCTATAGGCAGCAGGCCTGTCCTTCTGGCTGGAGTCTGTGCTGCCACCTCCCACCTAGGAGCTCCATTCTTCAGGGTGATAGCCCCTTCTCTGTAGATGTTTAGAAGAATGTGGGGAACCCTAGTGTGGGGGTTTCACAGTGTGGGGGAGCCTGGCTGTGGGTACCCCTGGTGCGGGGAGCCCTGCCAGCAGTCCACCAGGAGGGCAGAGGTATCGCACACTTCGTTCTGAATGGAAGCATACCGGTGTCTGCTACTTTCTCTGAACTACTTGAATACTCAGATGTATTAGGTGGATGGAGAGAGGAGTTAGAGTGTGATGCAGCAAGTTGAGTGATATGTTATGGTAGAACCTCAGCGATGGGTATTTGCATGTTCAGTGTAGAATTCTTTCTGTTTTTTCTGTATTTGAAGATGTCTATAATAAAATACTGGGGAGAGCACAGGCCTGAACATGAAGCCAGGT